AAATCTCAACGTATTCTATGATCATGATGCTATAAGATTAAAGATCCAAAAGCATCATTGAAGGAAGAAGATCAAACGTCAAAACTACATCATTCACATTCTGATTGTACCTTCAAGCTTAGGACAAGATAATGACCTAGATATTTAAGATAATCTCTTGGTTATATAACTTAAGAGGATTAGAGTTAAAATCGAATTAGGGATTAACTCTTATATGACTCCTAAGTGATTTTAAAAGAAAAGTTTTTCTAAACCGTTTGGTATTTTAAAAATATAAATTGAGCCATTAGCGGACCACTCTTGAGCACTACCCTTAGTGCTCAAGAGAACAAGTTTTTTGCTTGATTTTAAGCTTAAAAAACCAGTAGGGACCGTCTTTTGCTCTCTAACCTTTGCTAGAGCGGTCTTTTTATGACTTAGGAGAAAAAAGGCAAAAGGCTATGGATGCAGAACATGACTTGCTCTATGAGCTCGCTCAGGCAGTTCATAGTCGCTCGAGCGATCTTTCAATTAGAATTGAAATCTTATTTTCATTTCAGTGACAACCGCCCTATGACCCTCCTCCCACCAATTAAATAGTTGTTCACGAATCTGAGTTTCCTTGTTAACCAATGTTATCCTCATTCCGGACTTATAATTAGGGAGAGTCTTGTCTTCAACTAAGATAAACCTTTAAAACTTACCTTCAACCTATAGAGCTTCCACAACCTTAGATCCTTAAAATCTAAGGCTACCACTAGAGATTCTATCAAACCTCACAAATCAGAGTTGAAAATCTTGATGGTTTGACAAACTTATTTGTGTGTGCATACTAGAAATTATTGGCATGCCCATTATTGCTTGAGGCCTAAATGAATTGTGCAACGGGGGTGTTCAAGTGAGGCTACACAAAATGTCAAAGATGGTCTTTCGACGGAGTGACCCACGAAGGAAAGGAGCATTTAGCCATGTTATTGGTTGAGGTCTAAAACGCGAGTACTTGTAGATTAATTTTGTGAGTAATGGATTAGGTATTGGTGAACACTGAGTAGTTCCCTATGATTTTTCTTAAAGAGAGATTTTTGTGTGAACAAATTACTTATGTTATTTATTGTTTATGCAGATACACTTGTGATTATTAGCATACATGTACAATGTTTATATAAATGATTATTTGATATCTTTTCATCCATAGTTGCGTAGGATTTTGGGTTTTGAGATTCCCGTGAGATTCATCCATAGTTGCGCGTGAGTTTGTGTGAATTAATTGAAAATTATTTAATATCAATCTTCATGGGTTTAAGGGTTTGTGGCAATTAAAGAATTCTCACTATTCATTGTTCAATTTCTGTGAAAAGAGATAATTGTAATCGAAATAAGTTTTAATCGGTGATCAATTGAGCTAAAATTTGAAAAATTTATTCATTCCCCTCTAAGTATTATCGTGCATTTTATTTGTATAATCGTGAAAAAAACATCCACAATGTTTCTCCCCTCTCCCAAAACAACATATGTAAAGGTCGTATTCCAAGCCCGGGGTTAAGACATCTAGCTTAAGCCTATAATAATGCCAGACAAAGTTTTTTTTTTTTTTTGGCTTAAATCGATCCTAGAGTAAAAAATCTTTGCCCAAACTTTATTAGTTTGATATTTTCGGTAGAATTTGAGAGTTGTGCCCGCACCGAAGCCCATCTAGTTGTTGAAAGTTGTGGAGGAATTGAGGTTCTTTAAACACGAAGTGTAATAGATTTTCAAGGAGGATGCAATAATTACAAATATAATTCTAATCAGAGAACTTTGAGGTTTAACTCCGCTTGGCAAAACATAAATTCAAAATAGAGAGTAAGAGAATATTCAATAGGCTCTTTATTTTCACTCAATTCTCTATTTTAGAGAGTCAATCATACAAAAAAAACAAGTTCTAATAGGCTCTCAATTTAAAGCATATTCAATAATACTCTTTATTTTAGATAGTATTTTTTTTAAAATAGAGAGAGAAATATTTTAGACTACTTCAATGACCTCTCTATTATAGAGAAAAATTAAATTTTGAGTCAATAACATTTAATGAATAACGTATATGTGTCATTTTGTTATTCATTGAAAATATAATAGAGAGTGAATTGAATTCTCTACAGAGAGAGCCAAATAAGACTTTTTATTTTAGCTAGTTTAAATAGAAAACCTATTGAAACTTAATTTTTGATGGTTGACTTTTTAAAATAATGAGTTGAGTGGGAATATAGAATCTTTTGGAGATACTCTTAAACTAATTGAAAATAGAGAGCTAAATTGGCTCTCTACATTTGAAAAGCTCAACCCACTTTCTATTCTATTTTCAATGAATGAAAAAATGACACATATGCATTTTTTATTAAAGACTATTGGTTACAAAACTATTTTTCTACTAGAATAAAGAACTCATGGGAGTTTTTCAGAATATTTCAATCTCTATTTCAAAATTTTATCAAAGATTCACTCTATTTCAAAAAAAAGATTTTTTTTTTAAAAAAATAGAGAGTACTATTGGAGACTATTTAACTAGTTAAGAAGAAAATTAAACTATTCTGTAGCACGTAAAACAAGTATTCTAGATAATTTCACGATGAGAGTCCTAATTCTATAATGATTCTACTACGTTGGTGAAACCAACCCAATGACGTCGATGGTCCCTTTAAGTAGTTGAAGCTACGAAGACGAAAATGGGAAGAAAGCACAATAATTAATTTTTGATCTCTAAGTTTTACAAAAAAAACGAATTGAGTATTGGAGAATCTTAAACGAGCATCGCACTAATGTTTCTTGGCTCTTAGTGTTTTACTCTATTTGCTACATAGACATTCATAATCACGCCATACAACCACAAATCTGTAGACTAATTTTCTGTATCACAAAATTCCTAAATTTTAAAAGTTTTTAGTTTGTTCAAAATCTTGTCTTTTTTTTTTTTGCCCAAAAAAAGAAAAAGGAAAAATAATAATTCTTTTTTCATATGCATTAGTGTATCAACATTATAATCCAATCAATAAATATTACTATTCAATTAATCCACACAACGAGCAAAAAAAAAAAGACAAAATTATAGTTATTAGATATTAACAAAATAAATAAGTCTCAACGTGCAGGATAAGATTGAATTTGAAATTTCTTTCAAAAAGAAGAGATTAAACTTAAGACGTTTTATAAACTTATGAATTTGATCTTTGTTAGTGATTCTTTGACTTGATCGATTTCCAATTATTATGGAGTCTAATATTTATTTTACAGAGGTGGATCCAACGTGAAGTCTTATTGAGGTTCCTCATAAAAAAAGTTGATAAATAAATAAATCTCTCTACTTGTAATATGTACTTTCCAATTAAAAAAGTTGTTAATTGGGTCAACGATTGAAAATTTCTGTATTATTTTTTTATACTATTTTACTTGTAATAGATCTCACACCATGTACCCAAAGTAAGACCGTTGAACGAGAGTGTAATAGAAAGTGTCTGGATGCAATGGGGGCGTAAATAGCAACTCAGAATGCATAAATCACGTGACAGAAATAGCGTGAGGACCAATTACCCCCGAACAAGTCACGTGCCAATATCCCGAACCGGCGAACCATTCAACCCTACCAAGTCTTACACGCAACTCGTGAACCCTCCTCTCTCGGCTTAACCACCACGCACCCCTCCTTTAACCCAAACCCCAACAAACCATCGAGGCATCCAACCCCAACACCCAATCTCCCCGCCGGCGCCGAGGCCCAAGCCCCACTCCACTTTCTCTCTCTCCTATGGCTTCCGGAGAAAACCACGCCGTCTACAACGACGACGACCTTGACGATGACGATGACGAAGAGAGCATAGACGACGACCACCTAATCCAACCTTCTCAAAACGACGTCGTAGACGATGAAGACGAGGACGTCTACGTCGACGATGAGTCCAACTCCACCTCCTCCTCCAACCTCGCCACCGCCGATGCAGACCCACTTCCTCCTCCTCAGCCTCCTCCTCTCCCATCGTCTGGCGCCATCGAAGTCACCGTCGCCATCGCTGGCCATCCCAACCAATCCACCATCCCCGATCCTAAACGTCGACGCATCGATGACATCATCACCACCACCGTCGTCGAACAGAAACAGAAGCCATTGCCTATCGACGACTCACGAAGACTTTTCCAACGCCTATGGACCGATGAGGACGAAATCGAGCTCTTACAAGGCTTCCTAGAGTACACCGCGAGTCGAAGTGGGGTCCACAATTCCTCCCATCACGATACAACGGCGTTTTATGATCAGATCAAGAGCAAATTACAGCTGGATTTCAACAAGAACCAGTTGGTGGAGAAATTGAGACGGTTGAAGAAGAAGTATCGGAATGTGTTGAATAAAATTGGGTCGGGTAAGGAGTATGTGTTCAAGAGCCCACATGATCAGGCTACTTTTGAGATCTCTCAGAAGATTTGGAGCGGAGTTTCTTTGAATCGTGGAGCTGGTGGGTCAATTGACGATGATGATACAAACCCTAGCCCAAACCCTAACCCTCACCCTAACTTGGTTGACCAAAACATTGATTCTATAGACTTTATGGTTGCTAATAATAATAGTGCTGAGAAAAAGTTGTCCAGGTCGCGAAAACGATCGCGTGGAGGAGTGGTGAAAGTTGAGGACAATCATGGAAGTAATCAGCAAGCAATGGGTTTGGGAGTGGGTGTGGCCACAGCCACAGCCACCACACCATCTGTTCCCAAGAATTTGATTGAGGAGACTGTGAGGAGTTGTGTATCGCCATTGTTTAAGGAGTTGATAAACAATGTGATGAATGGGCCCTGGGGTTCACGAGGGTTCGGGATGGGATTGAGTCCAATGCCATTGGGTTTTGGTGGGCAGATGAATTTAATGGGAGGTGGGGATATGGCGGACGAGAAGTGGAGGAAGCAGCAGATGTTGGAGTTGGAGGTTTATTCGAAGCGGTTGGAGTTGGTGCAGGATCAAATTAAGGCGCAGTTGGAGGAGCTGAGATCTATGGCGAGTTGATGGTTCTGCTTCTGGATACGAGTTGGAGTAAGTTTTTGGAATTTTCTTTTCTTGGTTTAGTTCATAAAATCATTGGTCATTGATCAATGGTTAATACTGTGTAGTGGGTAATTTCAGCCTGTTTAGATTTCTGACCCCTTTTGTTGATTTAACTTCTGTTGTTGAATAATAATTTGTATTTATTCCGCCTTTGATGGCTTGTTCAAACTCCTTTAATATATGCATATATATGGGAATGAACTGATAAGAAAAAAGGGGCATGAGTTTATGTTCTACTATCTTTTTCTTCTTGGAATTGCTTTTGTAAATACCAATTGGATGGATGAGTTTGATGAACTCAATCCCATGTCTTTCTTATTATTGCAACATCTCCTTGTAAATCGAACTTGTCCTGTAGAATTTCAGAAAGTGGTTATGTTGACACTATTGTACATGTCTTCATTGTGTGGTGGGATGAAGTGAATGTTCTTTTCAACTGTATTGTGGCCTCTTTACCCATATTGATGGATGGTTATCTTCTTGGGAAATTGTGGATTAAAAATGGTACTCATTAGTCAGGGGTTTTGGTTTTTCAAATGGACTTGATAGTTCAAAAAACTTAATGGTGACTCTCTTTAGTCCCTCGGGTCCATTTGGAGTTTAACTTGGCTTAATCAGATTTGACAAATTGAGGCGTTCTGGTATTTTTGAGACTTGTAGAATTTTCTTTGCAAAGTTGAACTATATATGCGCAAACGGGGCCTAGCTGGATAATGACACTAGGTTGATTCATGGGACTGGATTATATCCATCGTTGTTTCAGTTACATTTTGTACAGTGTAGTTGTGTAAACTATGATGACCACTAATAATTGCATTGTTTTGTTGTGCTTCTTTAGCATTTTCGGTTGTTGTAGATGCTATGTGGACTGCGAGTAAATTGTGTGAATAAAATGGCTGTGGATTCAACACATGTTCTGCTGCATTAATTCCATTTGAGGATTGCTAGATGATGGTAACATAGCTGGAAAGCTTCAAAGGGATGTCATTTCATGGAAACTTGTCACCCAGACACCAACGTAATTAGTCTATGCATCATCGCCGATGGGGCATGTGGATGGAGTTGTTGAGAAAATTAAGTAATACAGCCCAATTCTTGTAAATTCCTGCAACTTATATAGTTAAGTTTAGGTGCAATGTTCATGAATTTTACGAGAAGGGTTTAGAGAGATGATTACAATGTTGTAAATGGAGATCATCCTGACGATGAGATGGAAATATCACCAAGAGCTTGGCTTTATAAGACTCCTGATTTGTGTAGGCTGTTGGTTACATCTTGTACTTCAAATTTACCCCAGTTGAACATATTGGAGGATACATAGGTAGGTAGTAATGGCAATCTTTGACATCATCCTAGCACTGGCATGATAATTTTGACAAGATTTCCTGTTAATAGTGTTGCAAGGTGAATGTCTGGCAAAAAAATAAAATAAAAACTCAGATTTTTTGAGTAACAGGTGTGAACTAGTTTTTTTTTTCTTTTACAGAGGATGATCTTCGGTTTTGGCATAAGCAATCAGAGCTAGAATGGTTAATATTAGGATTACATAGGATGATCTTCGGTTTAATGACTTTCCTCATCAAGGGAAGTCGTGCTCTCTCTACTTGGCTTTGTGTCAAGAAGAATGTTATTGGGAATTAGAAAATTATTATAATTTTCAGCCTAACGATGTTTCAAGTTATAGAATCTTCTTGAAAAAATTTAACTATTAGAGCTATAATCTGGGCCGGTCTAAGAGATATCCAGGCCCTAGGCAAAAATTTCTATGATTTTTTTATAGAGAGGGAGACGAGATGACAGTTATACCTTTCTATGATTTTTTTACTTGTGTAAACTATGGTATGATTTTCGTTTTGAGAGAGAGTTGTCAAGAGACTCTTTAATTAAGATGGGAAAATTGTGGATAGGTATATACTATTTATTTGCAGGAAAGTACCATACGAATTCTCTTTTGTGTATAATTCTTTTTTTTTTTTAGGAATGGATTGTGAGTAGATACATAATTGCCCTTTTTAATTAATCATATGTTCCTCTCGAAATGCGAGCTTTCCCCCTAATTTAAGGTTTTTATGAGATTTAATTCTCATTTGTCTTTTCCTATGTCCATCCCTAAACCCTTGCGAATCCCAAAACCGTGAGAACCATCGCGATTCCGAGGAAGATCGCTTCGTCTCCTACCCAACATTTATTTCTCTCCTACTGTACACACTACCTACCCACCATTTACTTCTCTTCGTTTGTCTTATATTCTACTAGTGGATTCCACCCCCTTTCCATGCGTAGTTTAGTTTCTCAAAGTAGTGGTATTCATCGGAAAGATCTAGAGAGAGCAAACATCTTGACGATTGCCCACATCCCTATCCCTTCCCCCCTGTCTCACTCCCCCACCCCACTCTCATCGTCACCTTCTCTTACGATTTCGCTGTCTTCTACGATATTCCACCTTCTTTGATCTTCCTTCTAGGCGAACACTCAAACCATTTTCCCCATCTTTTCTTTTAGTCTAGTTTTCTGATTTAGGCTACGCCCGGTGGTTATGTCACATTTACCAACTACCTATATACCTACACTCAATATACTACTGAGTTGTCTGTTATAAGCCAAAACCCCCAAAACCCTTCACCCTGCTATTTTTCCATAGCCATTTGTCCTGTTTTCCCTGTCCTATTACCCTTCCCAAAAAGTCACTATCATCTACATTTTCCCTATGGATAAGGACTCAGAAGCTGAATCTCACTCCACCCATCACCCACGCATTTCCCTCTACAAAAATCCCTCGACCTCAAAGACGATTGTGAAGTTCTGTCTGGTGGGTCGCTTCTTCACAGAGACAACCCTTAATAAATAGGGGGTATGCAACGTGTTGCAGAGCTCTTGGAAGACCTCTAAAGGGTTTTATATTACTTATTGAGAGAGAAACATTTATATGTTTATGTTCAAAGAAGAGGAGGATAGAGATAAGATTTTAAATGAAGGTCCATGGTCTGTTTCTGGGGCTCTGCTGGTATTGAAGATGTATCAACCACAGTGCATTATAGGAGATTTCGATTTCCAGCTAGCTAAGTTCTGGGTGCAAATCTGGGGGTGACCCCTGGACATGATGACCAAAAATAACTCATGGAGAATAGGTATGACAATAAGCGGGCCAACCAACTGGAGGAGTTTGATGGGGAGGTCCAAATCCAACGAAAATTTTTGAGGGTGAAATGCAGGATCAATCTGAATGAACCCTTGAAAAAGGGCTTCTTCTTGACTCGGGATAACCAAGACGACATATGGATTAAATTGAAATATGAGAGACTGTCTGATTTCTGCTACCAGTGCGGTCAGATTGGCCACTCACAAAGCCAATGCAAGGATAGACGGGCATCTGGATCCAATGACCAGTATGGACCGCAGCTACGAGCGCAAGACAACCAACTTGGGGGCTTCTTCAGGGAAACTTGGTCTCTAAAAACACGAGAGGAGTTGGAAAAAAATGAAAAACTCAAAGGAAAGGCACAAGCGACCGGAGAGGATGTAAAGCCAACGAAATGCAGGGGACAAGGAGGAAGTAGGAAAGCAGACGAAGAATTATCTAACATCCCTATCGATCAGTGGGGAGACGTGTCGAAGCCCCAAGCCAGGAACGAGGCACGTACCATGTTGGAACAAAAAGGTGGATCCCAGGGCCATGCACCTTCACTTTCAGTGGTACCTTATTCCGGCGGGTACCAGGAATGGGACTAGTCCCTCTCTTTATCCCTGTCTGATTCCCAAGAAGACCCAAACACAATAGTTGCAGTCAAAAAAGGTTTCTATTATGTTTGTGAGTCCATAGACAGTATGGAAGCCCAGAAGACTAACGAAAGGAAAATCTATATAATATCAGATAGTGAAGATGAGGAGAGGGGTGATGATATGGAGACCCACTTTCAGAATATGTCGCTTAAAAGGAAAGCCAAATTGGAAGATGCTAATATGGAATCCCACTCACTGCCATGGAAAAGATTCAAAGCATTTTCGGATAGAGGCCCAAGTATTTCTCACCTTTCCCTCCCTTACTCTGGCCCTTCTCTGGCTCTTGATTTGTCCCTTGTTTTGCTTCTTCATTTAATTTGTTGCTATTACGTAAACTTGGAGATCTGTTGAACTGTCACTGTTTTATTGCAAAAGTTATATATGATATTTTGTAAAATGAGACCAACCTATATTATATGTTTTCAAAACCTTGTTCGAGTTTGAGAGGATTTTCCTACAGAGTTTAGTGCTCATACCCTACAAATAACATCTTCTTCAGGTTACGGTCTAGAGGAAGTATTTAGATTGGTTGAATAAGTAAATTAGGAAGGTCAGATTGACAGGGACGTGGATCTTGATATGGACGTTTAGAGCTACTTTCTTTATATTGTAGATTGCGAGATTAATTATGAGACAATGTTAAAGATAATGTTTTATTTATTTTGCTGCAAGATAATATTTGATTTTTAGATGTAATTGTCATAGTTTGACATATTTGTTTTGAATGATACTTTAGTTATTATGGATGATGAATGAAATTTCTGTTATTTATGGATTTTATTAGTTGTTCTCATGATGTGAATGATTAGAGATAATAATGTCTTCCAGGATGAATTTTAGGGCGTTACATATATATTATATTATAAATATAGCAACTAGAAAATAATCCAAACTTTTAAAAAAGAGAGAAAAATTTAAAAATTAATTGAATTTCCAAAAATCTCTAAATTATGTTATTCCTAGCAACCAACAAAATGTCACAAAAGCTTTAAGTGAATATTTCACAAATGTACGATTAATGAATCTCAAAGAATTAGAAGACGATGAAATAATACAAAAATATATAAAATTGAAAATATTCACAATGAGAGCTAAACATGCAATACAATAATTATTGATGAAGAACGTACAAAAAATATTAATGCCGCAAAATTTGCAATTGATAAAGTCCTAATAAGATCGATTATGCCACATTAAAGAATAGAGGAACTAGTAATAGAGTCAATTAAAAAATATATATTAGAAAACTATAATACAAAAAAATTATAGTAATTTTGCATCTAAAAAGTAAGAAAAATAAATTTTAATTAAAAAGGTAATAAATGAAAATGCATCATTTGAAGAAGTCGACTTAGGCCTCATTTGAAGATGTGGCTTTATTGACCCACTCCTGTCTTATAAATATGGTTGAGCTATTCTTGATGGTCCAAAGCCATATGAATGTGGAGAATGCCCGTAGCCCAAGAAAAGTGTTAAGAGAAGATGACATAAAAAAGAGAGACCAGGCCAAAAGATCTTACCGACGCACAAGTTCATCAATTGGATGAGTAAGTGGTAGAGAAAGATTGGGACCCAAGTTCTAAACTAAAAGATTCTGAAGGTACACTCCTTGGAATAATAGCATGGAACAAATCCTTTATCAATTTCAAGATGATCACATATGTTCCCATAATTACAGATATTAGAATAATTCCAATCACCAACCAAAAATCTATTTATTCCCACGCTATTAAATTTTATTTCATATCACAATCTCAACACTAAGGATTAATATAATAATCTTAATCAACCACCACGTAATTTCCTTCACACATGATATATAGCATTATACAGTCAAACCATAACATAACCCTCCATAATTAGGTTTAGTTTAGTTTAGTTATATCACCATCACTTTTATTCCTATTTCTTCACCCAAGCTGAAGAATTTACTTTATCACACATGCAGACTACCCCACATAGAAACAACTTTGTAATCAAAATAATCATATGTTCATTTTTAACAAACATACCAATCATTTGGTTTACACCATTACACCATAGTTCATCCATAGCACCACAGAACTATGGCTTGCAACATATGCTATATACATACCATTTAAAATAATATAGATACACATCCACCATTATTGTATCACAAATCGCCACTAAGGTGATATATCCTATCACCAACACTACATAACAATTATCATGGCTATTTTGCCACAAAAATTACTCAATAAAAATCATTAAGACTACAATTTGTACCACACACACAGGCTACCAAAATTCACCACATAAGCAATATCCACCACTAAGGCCACATCAATCAGTTAGATTATTTGCCACACAAGGCTATAGTTATGCCATTTAGACAATCCGCCATAAAGGTTACCTACTTACCATTTAAACAATATTTTCCAACAAGGTCATACATTTGTCTTTAAGGCTATATTTGCCTATAAGAGAAATCAATAAACTCACATTATCCATCACAAGCCAATAACCCACACAACCATACATTAGTAATGTATAAGCATACTCTAGTCATTACCATATAACTCACCACTTCAACCCTCTAATTGTTGT